CGCCCGAATCGTACTTATACACCTTCTCCGCAAAACTGGCGGGAGCTTCCCTTCTACACACTTCTCCTAGACAAATTCGCTGATGGTGATCCCACCAACAATGATTTCTTCAATACAACGTTCGAAACCGATCAAAACGAGCTTAATCTGCGCTTTGGTGGCGACGTCCGGGGTCTGCATCGGCATTTGGATTACCTACAGGGCATGGGCATTCGGGCGTGAAGTAGAGTACTGTAGAACATTGGTTCCGGCTTCCTGGTTCTGGTTTAGGTTCCATGGCACGAGATCCTCACGGTACTCGTGACCAAGGACTAGAGACGTGTGCGGAAGTAAAGTAGGTAGCAATGGAAGGGCAGCAAAGAGCGTTAATAGTTGAAAAGCTGCCATGTAGATTAATTGAGTGAGAGATTAGGAGTAACTAGTGGAATTTGTGGAAAGAAAGAAATGGGTCGGACTGTTGTGGAAAGAAACCAATCTATGGTGGCAAGCGAGGAATGGAGTTCGATCCGACTCCATAAGTACTCGATAGCCCCTAAGGTCTCCATTTGAAATGCATCCTCTAGAGTCATTTTATTGGTTTCCATTCCTTCTTTGACTCCATGGTGATCGCAATTCACCGAGTTTAGAGTTTCGAGGGGACCAGCAGAGCCTGACCTTTGCACCATCCTTTTGTAGCAAAGCCGACTCACGAGAAGCCACATTCTAGAAAAGTTAGTATAGACATCGGAAGAGGTCAGTCTCAGTGATAACTGGGTCGCATTGTCCTGACATTGTCGGGCACCAACAAGGATGGAGACTTGTGAAACGCGATCTGCTATTCCAAAAGTCACCAATAAAAAGAAGCAAGAGGGAAGAAAAGGGGGAGGGGAAAGGAAGGGTTGACTATAGCAAGCTATCCATTCTGCTGAAGATTTCAAAGACAGTAATCACGATTTCGAAATGTAGATCGTCATTTTCCTTACCAGCGGCCATCTCGCCCTTGACGGCTTGAACCAGCGCGCCGATAAGTTCCCTGGTGGATGGTCCGCTACCTCCACTTGCAATTTCTCTCCTTGAGGAAGGCGCAGTGGTACCTGACCCAAGCGGCCATGCCGTAAACTCGTTGAGAAGATCGTCGCACCTTGAAAAGGCCGCTTCTCGTTCGTCATATCCTAGTCGTACTAAGGCATTATCGAGGACTGAAGCTGCATAGGCAGCACAGACTAGTGAAACAGCCCGTGTAACCGGGAATTCAATGTTCGCCTGTGCGGCAGAGGATGACGAGGACCCCTTGATGGAACCACCAGGCAACGCGTTTGGCGGTATCGTTGTTGTCTGGGCAGTTAACAGAGAAACTACACGCGTCATGATCGACTCTTTAACCTTAAGATATGATCATAATAAGTAGGTATACAAGGGGGTAAATCTGGCGGCCTTACTGCAGCGTCTGCCACTGGATGAGTAGCCATATCAAATAATAGAAAGTTGCGTTTCTCAGTTCGAAGGATTCCTTTATCGACAAGCCCCTTTGCTAGTCTTTCTCGAACTTGCTTCAGTTGAAAGCCGATTTTCATAACATTCCATGTTTCACCTGCAAAAGAAGTCCGATCCACGGGTCATCAATGAGCTGGGAGAATTCAAAATCCACCACAGAAGAGACGATGTGCATACCACTCAGCAAGTCGACCCAGCTACCTACGCCCAACTTTTCGCCTGGCACACCATTCCCTGGCCCATCTTGGGTAGTCTTGATCATCCTCAGGGCTTCATCTAGTATTGTCTCCCCCGTCTGCCTTTCAGATATGACTTCTACTTGTCTGGAAAATCATATTCATCCGTCAGCTATCTCATTGCGCAGCAGTCAAAGAGGGGCCCGTACCTCTCCGCCAGGGGTAATCGCCTTCTTGCTGGATCTTTGACTATAGCAATTCGCCGACGTAGTGCTAATTCAATCAGAATACAACCTCGGAGTGCATAGGATATATTATCATTCCAAAAAGATAAATAGCCCTAGAGTGTTCCGAAGTTAGCCTTCCTAGTCCGTTTGCTAGAGAACTACAGGGAACCACGCTGAATGCATACCCCCGAAAAGTGGCCGGTAGAGATGGCTCAAGGTACATGAACATGCGGTCCTAATCTGTCTTCTGCATAGGACTGACGTCGCACACGTCGTACTTGACGCCAACAGCAAGTGAACGAACGCGGCCCAGATAGAAACACAAAGTGTCAAGAAAAGTACTCACTGCGCGATCTTTGATTCCAAGCAACAAAATTTCTTCCAAGAGCGTCAATTTAGGAACTCTCCCCTCCTCATCACCCCCGCTCCCAGAACCCACCAGGTCCCTGGGATCGTACGCGACTTTTGAACCACCAGCGAGCGCGGTACCAGCATGTGAAGATCGTGCCGCATTTATGTCAGAAAAGGAACTAGAAGTGGATTGAGAGGTAGCGAGAGTAGGACGTGTCGATTTGTTTTGGTCTTCATCATCCACATCGTTCGAGGTCGAAGCGGCTGCCACTCTTCGTCTTGATAATCCAGTTTGACTACTCATGATTCTTCGTCTATTGCGAATGTATAGCGACGACGAGAGTAGCGAAGACTGAGGAGAGGTCGAAGTGCAAGTTCTGAGTTCTCAAAATTTCGCAAAGTCCGCGGCAATATAATATAAACCGTCCTCAGGCGAATCTGGCCGGTGTTTTTGCAGAGATTCATTTTTACTTATAATTCACAAAATATCTTGGAATTCCGTACTATTACTCTGTGATGTAACATACAGGGCTACAGAGATAAACGACCAAGAACGAGATTGAAATGGATACAGCAGTCTCTTCGCGATTATTGTAATCATTACAATGTCACCATTGACGTGTAACGACGGGAAAGCGGACACGATAGCCTAAAAAAGAACGAGATTGGGGAATACTTGCGGAAAATTAGACGAGCACGGGGGTAAAGTTGTACAAACAAGAAGTTCAGCGCTGCTGAACGTTGAGACTACTCCACGACTGTTCGAGAGCATGGAGGGGAATACCACTAGATTCAGACATGATTGCATGATTATCCCGATGATAGGGGGGTATAGCTGTAGCAGCAGTCGGTGCTGGATAAGGATTATAAGTGTTGGGCATTACTCTAAAGTTTGGGTCGAGTCGAGAGGCCGGTGTGGGTGTGGGATTAATCCATTGACCATAAGCATCATGTGTGGAATGATGATGCGAGTGATGGAGATGATGTTGTTGCGCGGGTTGTTGTGGTGCCATATGGTGGGTAGACATATGATTGGGAACTAGTGAAGTTGTAGGGGAAAGCAGACTTGGGGAAGGCATAGGTTGGTATATTGGGCCGGGAGCTGGGTAGGCGTAGTCACTAGGGAATGAACGGGCTCTCGATAAGCCACGATTGCGACGGACGGGTTGTGTAGTCATGGCATAATCTTGAACAGATTCATGCGC